CTAGAAGAGAAATAGTGTCTTGATATTGGTTTGGGCAATGATTTTTTCGATATGGCACCAATAGCACAGGGAACAAAGGCAAAAATAAATAAAGGGGATTACAGAAGCTAAATAGCTTCTGCACGACAAAGGAAATAATGATCAGACAACCTATGAAATGGGAAAAATATTTGTAAACCATATGTGTTAGTCAGTTTTGCATTACTATAACAAAAAACCTGAGATGATCAACTTAAAAATAGGAAAAGTTTATCCTGGCTCACAGTTTTGGAGGTTTCAGTCCATGGTCATTTGGCCCTGTTGCTTTTGGGCCTGTGGGGAGGCAGTGCCTCATGGCAGGAGCATATGACCAAAAAGGCCTATTCACCTCAAAAAAGAGAGAGAGAAATACCTCATAATCCCCTTCAAAGGTACACCCCCAATGACTTAAGACCTCCCACTAGGTCCCACCTCTAAGGGACCACCTCCCAATAGCACCATAGAGCTAGCAACCAAGCCTCTTAACACCTAGGCCTTTGGAGGACACTTCTACAAACCGTATCTTCATACATCTAAGAGGTTAATATCTAAAATATATAAGGAACTCAACTCAATGGCAAGAAAAGAAATAACCTCATTTTAAAATGAACAAAGATTCTTAATAGACACTTCTCAAAACAAGATGTATAATCAGATGTGATAGTGCACACCAGATGCGATAGTGCATAATAATCCCAGCAACTGAGGATGCTGAGGCAGGAAGATCACAAGTTCAAGGCCAGCCTCAGCAATTTAGTGAGATCCACAGCAACTTAGCAAGATTCTGTCTCAAAATAAAAAATAAAAAAAGCTGGGGATGTGACTCAGTGGAAAAGTACCCCTGGGTTCAATCCCCAGTACCAAAAAAAGAAGGATAAATGGCCAGTAGATATATGGTGAAAAAAAATCACTATTCATCAGGTAAGTACCAACCTAAACAACAATGAGATATCGTCTCTCACCTGTTAAATAGCTATTATCAAAAGACAACAAGTGCTGACCAAGATGTGGAGAAAAAGGAATCTTCACACACTAGGGGTGGAATGCAAATTGAGATAGCCATTATGGAAAACAGTATAGAGGTTCTTCAAAAAATTAAAAATAAAACAATCATATGACCCAGAAAGCCCACTCCTGAGAATAAATCAAATGAAATTAAAGCAGCATGCCAAAGAGCCATCTGCATTCCATGATCATTGCAGCACTATTGACAGTAGCCAAGATGTGGAATCAACCTAAGTGTCCACTGACAAGTGAATGGATTTTTTCGAAAAAGTGAAACTGATAAACACAATGGAATATTACTCACCATAAAAAAGAAGGAAATCCTGTCATTTTCAACAATATGGATGAGCCTGGAGGACATTATGCTAAGTGAAACAAAACAGGCACAGAAAGACACTGTATCATCTCATTTACATATGGAATCTAAAAAGTCAAACTCACAGAAACAAAGAATAGAATGGTGGTTGGCAAAGGGCTGGTGGGTGGGGGAAATGAAGAGATGTTGTTCAAAAAGAAAAATATTCAGTTATGCAAGATGAATAAGTTCTAGAGAAGAATGAAATTTGACTCTTTATCTCAAGCCATATATAAAAATACACTCATAAAAAATGATACCAAAAAATACACTCAAAATGGATTAAACACGTTCATACAACAGACAGCAGGCTGGCTATAGTTAATGTTGCTGTAGTATACACTTGAAATTTTCTAAGACAGTGGATCTTTGATGTTTTCACCATTAGAAAAAGGTATCTAGGTGAAGTGACACATATGCAAATTAGCTTAAATATGGTAATCACCTAAGTATATATGACTATGAAAACATCTGACCACAAATATGTACACTTTTTAATTGTCAATTATGCCTTAATAAAGTTGGAAAAAAGAAATTATCACATGTTAATATCTGTTTGGACCAACTCTGGAATACTACACAAAAATTAAGTAACAATAGTGAAGAGTTCAGAGCAGAAGTGGGAGGCTAAAGGACACAGGTGAGGAGGAGACTCTTGTCTCCCTCTTTGTATGTTTGATCTTTGGAAAGCCTCTGCCACGTGCAGGTTTGAACTATTCAAAAAATGAATAAATAGAACCCTTTGCCTAAAAATAAATTGTGACCTAATACACAAATAGACTGCAACTAATCTTGCAATCCAGGGAAGAATTTTATTGCTCTGTTTTAGGTTGTACCCTGACTTGATTTGGGATGTCAAAAGGAAGGCTGCAGAGATGTTCTTAAAAGGAAGGGAGAGGGTTAATTTTTCTGTATATATAAAAGTGAAAAGAGTTTTGTGTTTCTCAGGGCAGCTCTGGAAATACAGTAAATAACATGGGAGAGAAAAGCACTTGGTCATATGCAGAAGGCCTAACCCTAAATGAGCAGGGCCAGCAAGGAGTACCCAAAAGATTCCCAGGAACAGTGCTATCCCAAATGTGTCTCCCGCTATATGCTACAATGTCCACCACCAACCCCTTCACATACACACTACACCGTGAGCTGGCATAATACATAATAACATTGTGTCTGGCTTCATAGAAGAGCAGGTATCCCTAGTGGAGCCAAGCAGGCTGCCAAAGGAGAACCATAGACAAGAAGTGAAGAGATAATCAGAACGGATGATATGGTAAATCTGGGTGCAGTTTAGATTGACTGGGAAATATGCTCCTCTTTAATCCCATAATCATGGAGGGGGGCAGGTCTAGGAGGAAACTTTCTACAGGATATGGGGTGCAGATTTCTAGTATTTCATTTCGATATGATGATCCCTGAAGCCTACCAGGCTTGGGTCATTTATGACATACCCACTTACTTGGAAAGCTTGATGATCTCCTATCTCTTCGCTACTCTCTGTTCTCCCCTCTTCCTCACCCTTATTCTTTTTAAGGGGAACAGTTAAGCATCTAAAACATCTTAGATTCTGATCTAGATAAAGGCAAAGATGGACTGTAACCAGAGTACATTCACATCTTCCTCTGACACCATGAAGAATAGTGCCATCTCCCTTGCCCCATAGTTAGGTAAATAAAGAAGGGTAAAGATGATCCCAACCAAGCATATCCGAGTCAAGTCAGTGTGCTTCTCTCCACTCTGGTCTGTAACTCCCTCCTAAACAAACTCTTCCTGAACCTTGGGCCTCACCCCTCCACTGTGCAACCCTGTCCGAACCCAGGTACAGCCCAGTGCAGAGAAGACACCCCAAGAACAGCTCCTGAGCAGCCTCAAATTCAGCACTACAGAAAATTCTCTCCCCTCATCAAAGGAGAATATGTGTTTACTATTTTTCCACTGAATCCACTTTACAGACCTCCCCCTTGTAAATTTTCCTGCATATAGGATCCATCGTTTCCTATAATAAGGACAGATCCAGCCCTGCACACACTTTTCAAAGTTCAGCCTCTTCTGTGCCAAAGGCAGGCAGGGCCCCAGGCACGACGAAGATATCTCCTCAGATCTGATAGCCCAGTCCCATGGCCTGTTTCCACTGACACTCCCTCACAGGGTCCAGCCTCCCCAGAAGCACATCCAGGCTTCCACCAGTCATTCCCAAGACAACCACAGCCCCGAGTCCTGATGTCTTGAGGCCCTGGAAGCCAGTCCCACAAAAGGCACTCCTGCACGAAAGGAACCTTTCGTCTGAACCCAGGCAGGGGAGCTATTCAGAGTGCACACACGCCAAGGTTCACACAAGTGTCAGACATATCCCACTCTGGGATGTGCACTCTGTCCCTTCTTTGGGTACTGGGACCAGAAAATATCCTGCATTTCTCTAGGATCTGCATTTCTTTGTTTGGCTCCCTCTGGTCACCACTTTCCACATCTCCCCACAGACATGCAAACCCTGGGAGTCAGGGAAAGAACACATGGTGGCCATGCTCTTCCCTCTACCATCCTTCCTAGAGACGACACTCAGTGGGTCTCAGTGCTCCAGGGCACCAGCTAGAACTCTGCTGGTGTAGCTCACATTCTCCTCTACCCACTGCTGCCTTAGTGCTCAATTTTTGTCCATTTCCCCCAAATTCTTAAGTCACAAGTATCTTGACTCCAAGTTTGGGAGTGAAAAGAATCCAAGGCTGAAAGCAGGATAGTGCCTGAGCTCCAGAGTGGGATTCAGGTTCCTCACCCCTCCTTCTACCCCAAGAGTTTGTCCTAGACAGAGGACAACACAGAACTCAATGATGGCACTTAGGGGAAAAGCTCTGAGTAGAACCAGCTTAATGGGAAAAGCCACCAGCCTGACCCTGCTCATTTATCCCACTGATATGTGCCTTTCAAGTACCTACTCCCCCAGCCCCCCAGGTCCCAGTCATAAGCCATAACCTTTTAGGACAAAATGAAATAACTGTGTTCTCCATTAAAATAACATACAAGATCACACTTACCTTTTGCCAAGATTGGAACAGTTGTTAGAGGATTTCCTTCCCTCCCACCCACCCCATGCCAACAGTGTCTGATTCCTTTGAAACACCATCTGGGAGAAATCATAATCACAAATATTTAAAGCTCTAATTCATAAAAAGTAAAAGAAAGAAAACATACACATGCACAGGCCCTACCTATGATTTGGCAAATGCCTAAGAAGGTGGAGTTATCCAAGAAAGCACACCTAAATGCCCCCAAAACTCTTGCTGGCTCCATCTCATTCCTTCCCTAAGAGTATTCTGACTCATCTACACAGGCAGCAGTGAGAAAGGGAAAGAACAAAGTGATAATGTGACGGCCTCCCGTGGAAACTCAGGTGACATAGATGATGCTCCAACACTTGATGCTCCTCCAACGACACAAAAAGACAAGCCAACAAATCATTTGAAGTGGAGTCAAACTTTTGGGTTTTGATTCCATGTGTCTCAGGACCCTGCACTAAATAAAAGAACACTCTGTACAGAGCTGGAACCTTTGACTTCCATCTGCTGGCCCATGAGTACCCAGGGGAACTGGGCCTCCCAGGCTGGGCCTGCATCCTGTGAAGGTTACATACCTCAGAAGGTTGAAGCTCAGATCCAGCCTTTTTGCAAAATGTCCACAGTCCCTGCCAAGGTGTTCTGGAATTTCTCTGCAGTCCTGGCCTATGTAGGACACCTGGAAATCAAATGGAACAGAAACAATGTGGCAAACGGAAATTACCCAGCTGCTCACAACCCTGAGTCATTGATCTGATGATTGCTTCCGCAACTTTAAACCTTTAAACGCATGCTCCTCACACACAAAAGGGCTACACTGTGACTATTTTCCTGATCAAATAAGCTTCAGGGGCTTCAGGGATTCTGCCAACAGCTCCCCTTTCCCCTTTCCTGAAACAGCTAGTGTGATGGAGACTAATCCTGGCACAATGGAAATTAGACTAAAATTGGCCAGATTCAGGTGTCCAAAGAAACCCCAATGTCAGAGCACACTAATAGAATCCTAACAACCAGCCTCTCACTCCGGGGTCTTTCCAACAACTGCCCCTCTGGCTTTCCTTCTGTCTCTTCTACACTGTCCCCTCCCAATCACCCTGTAATGCACATGGCCTCAGAAAAGGACACAGCAGATAAACTCACTGGCCTTCAACCCTCAGGGTGCTAGAACAATAGAGTTAGTTAAGCAAACCTCCCCAGACTGCCAAATTCCATCCCATTACTATTGAGTATAAAATGCCCTCCAATCTCCAAATGATACTTAAAAGGTGACAGGGTAATGACATATGGCCAAGTCTCCAAGTCTCCCTCTTCCAGGGAGCCTCTTGCAATCAACCCCATTCAGCTGACAGAGCTGCCTCCTTAGTCATTTATTTTATTTTACTTTATTTATTTTAAATGCCTGGCAAGTGCTCACATATTACAAGACTGAACTAAAATTCAATCCCAGAACTTACAACTGTGAGAAGGTCTATGGACTTTGTCATTACCCTAAATGCCCACTTTGGGGAACCCATTTTAAAGATATCTTATAAATAGCATTCTGAAGATAGGACTGGCTGGCAATTCCAAAATTGGAAAAATGAGCCCATGCATCAGAGATGGCCAACGGGCCACAATACATGATACATGCCCAAAGTACACCACCTTCAACTTCCAGGTAGAAATTCAGGCCTGTCTTGTAGCTACAGCCTTGATCCTTTCTCCCTACAAACCTACATTCTGTGCTTATGGATGAACATGTCTCAGAATGAGTTGGGGGGGTACAAAAATATAGTGGCCATTTACATCCTCAGATACTAGATTAAACCACATTCATTACCAACATCCAACTATTAGCACTATAAAATAGAAACTTCACACAGTTCGACCTAATACAAACCACAGGACACCCTAGCACCTTCCATTTTTCAAGTTATCACTCACCCCTCTCCTAACCAATGGGGGTGAACCACTGACAATACAATAGCCTGTAGTCACTCTTTTTCCATTCATTCTCCTTCAGTAACTTCACTCCAGGAGGAAAGAAAAATGGGAGAATGCATAGAAAAATAGCTGACTGGGGCTGGGGATGTGGCTCAAGTGGTAGCGCACTCGCCTGGCATGCGTGCGGCCCGGGTTCGATCCTCAGCACCACATACAAAACAAGGATGTTGTGTCCGCCGATAACTAAAAAATAAATATTAAAAAAATTCTCTCTCTCTCTCTCTCTCTCTCTCTCTCTCTCTCTCTCTCTCTCCTCTCTCACTCTCTCTTTAAAAAAAAAAGAAAAGAAAAATAGCTGACTGAAATGAAATAATTTGACTCAGAAAGGTACAAACTGAAAAATAAAGGGATCTAGGTTCAATCTAGCAATCTCTCCCCTTATGAAGAAGGGGCCCTTCCTTCTTCATAGATCCTTGTATAATACATTAAGTTCTGAGATGAGAAATCATACACCAAGGAGATATCAAAGATATAAGGCCCAAATCAATCTAAGGACTCCCTCAAGAGATTCACTTAGTCAGCAGATTCTTGTGCATTACAAATTTGCATTTACCCCCAGACCTATGGGGCTCACCCAAAAACCAATCCCACTCACCCTGGCCTGTACCACAGCATGTATATGTCATCATCACTCAAGAACTCTGAGTCAGGAAAGCTGAGACTTGAATAGAGACACTGAACTCTTTCCTTATAGATTAGTCAAGGACTAAATCCAGTAGGGATCCAGCTTATCAAAACTTTTGTCATTTAAACCAGAAAATTAAGACTCCAAAACCCTGATCAACCTGAGACAGCTTCTTAGTGACAAAGCCTAGAGCAGTTTCTGCACCATGAATAAGGACTTCGAACTTGGGGAATCCCTACAAATCCAATGTGGATGTAAGTGTTCTTGATCAACAAATACCAATGATGCCTCTATCATGATGTTTGGCTTCAAAATGAATCTTCCTGGCTGACAGGACCATCTGGAAGGCCCAAGGAGAATGCCAGAGCCTGGGAAAAGACAGGGATGTTTGCTCCCTTTTTCCTTCCCCTTCAGAAGAAACAGTAGTACCAAGGCCAGCTGTCATCAAGAAGCACTTGGATCACAAATCTAACAACTTGTTTTAGTATATGGTCTTAACAGCACAACATTCTCGGAAAACAAAACACAACACAACTTGCTCCCAATCCATAAAGATGTAAACCAAGTCTCTAAAATTTTGCATGAGAACCAACTTGATAAGCCATGCTTGGACCGCCCTGGTAATAAGCTGGCAGCTTTTAGAGATGTCAGCTAAGCCAACCAGGCTGAAGGGCTCAAATCAGCTGGAAAAAGACTTAAAAGCAGCAAGCAGTCATTGCCGAGCATTGCAACCAATGGCTAGAAGAGAGACTTGTTTAAGATGTGCTTCTGAGTGGAAGACCTCTCAGGACATAGGGAAACTTCCTAGTGCACAGGACCACCTAATGTAAGATACAAGGCCTGAAGAGCCAGACCAAAAATAATTTTCTTTTTCAGCAAGCAGGGATGAAGAAATTAGCAAGGTCTTTTTGTTTATATTGCTTTTGTTTGTTTGTAGGTACTAGGGATTGAACCCAGGGTTGCTTTACCACTGAAGCTTCATCCCCAGCCCTATTTAATTTTATAGTTTATTTTGAGACAGGGTCTCACTAAGTCACTTAGGGCCTAAGTTGCTGAGGCTGACCTTAAACTTGTGATCCTCCTGCCTCAGCCTCCTGAGTTGCTGGGACCATAGGCGTGTGCCACCACGCGAAGCAGAAATTAATAGCTCTTAAATGGCATAGAAGCAAGAGCATATTCAGGACAAAAAGTCATTGCATTTAGTCAATTACCTTGACTCAGACTGAACTAGAACAAAGTTTTGAACTTTTAACTTTCCTACTTTATATAATTTGTACCCCTTCTACCTTGTGTGGAATAAGAGGACAGATCATTAACCGGCATTAACATCATTTGCAGGCAAATGAAAATACGTCAAGTTAAAGATCCCTGCAGAAAGGAACATCAGAGGGAATTGAGAGTGTCTGGGCGGGATTCCCACCCATGCACAAACTCAGCCCCTCTGTGGAAGCTGCAGAAGACCAAACTGCAAAGACTGCAAGTTTCTCTTGGCCTTTAGGACAGTCACTCCCAAGGCCTTTCCGGACATGATAGGTTTGTGAGTAGTCAGGTGGGGGGCGAGGGGTGGTATTTTATGATGCCTATCCCTAGGCAAGGGTGGGGGATTTTCCATATTATATTTGAATTACCAGAGTCACTGTCACAGTAAAAACATCCCTAGGTATAAAATGTATAAGTCCCTGAGCTGCTACTTATTAGCTGTGTTATCTTGCATGAGTCACAACCTTGTGAAGTCTATTTCCTCTTTTGTAAATCATCCTAACCCTAACTGCCCCAAAAGTAGTAAGGATAACATAATAACTCATCTTTATTAAATACCAACTATGTGCCCAGCATCTATTCAGTCCTCAAGAAACACCCTCCCTCATGAAATGTGGAAAATAATAATTTTTAAAAAAAACAAAATGAAATGAAAATCAACTTAAGAAGAAACAGTCCCATAAATCACATATAATTCCCTATTTAAGACACATAGCATTTTCATTGGCACCTAGCAATCACTAGGTAAATAGAGCAGAATGAGACCACTGTCCCTATGGGAGAGATTGGTTATTTCCAATGTCTCTTGAGCACATGATTTCAGTGCCCAAATACCAAGTTAACATTTGTGTCCAAAACTGCATCAATTCTACAATTTTAATTGTCATGCATTAGTGAAAATAGAGGACTTAATGCTGAATATAAATGATGACTTCGAGTCAAGAGAAGCCAAATGAAGTCAGACCCATGTTTAAGAGAAAGATTTTACAAAGAAATGTGATGGAGGAAGAGGACATCCTCAAGTACATGCGGTGACAGGCCTGTATAAAAGTGACAGGAGCTCTATAAAAGCAGCTGAGCCACAGTCAGCCCACAGTGGCATTGAGAGCCATGATCTAACTTCAACCACACGTCATCATCCATCACATTAAATGGTTTGTTATTGAGTTTTTCTTTCTTTTCTTTATACTTAAACCATTGCTTTATTTTATTTGGGAGTTATGGGTCTCTATATGTTGAGAAAGTTACATCTGGCTTTATGTTTGTATATTTCCATAACACTGCAATATACATGATACAGATACTATGGGCTCATGGGAAGTTTTGTGGTTTCATTGTTGTTTTGTTTTGTTTTGTTCACCCTTTAAGAAGGATCTACCTGAGAATAGAATAGTGGTTTATTGAGACTGGACAGGCGAGGAGGGGCGGGGTTAACAGGTACAGAGGTGCTGTGGGTAAGAGAAATAACTTCTAATGTTCTGTAGCACAGTAGGGTACTATAACTGAAAACAGGGGGGGTTGTGTGTTTCAAAACAGCTAGCTATTCTGAAAACTCTAAAATAAATAAATAATCTGTTTTAAGGTGATGAATATACCAATTACCTTCTTCTGGTCATTACACATTGTATACATGTATTGAAATACCACAAATAGATATGTGTCAAAAAAATTTTTTAAAGAAATATCTACGAAAGTTTGAAAAGTAATATGCTACACATTAAAGTTGCTACCTCTAGTTATAAACTGGCAGGAGCAGACTATTACCAAATACTAAATCCACTGACCTGGGCAGTTTAAGAAATAGGGTACTAAACCCCAGGGGTATTTTCCAGTCCTCCCCAGACAGCTCCATTTTCTTAAAGCAGTCTCCAAAACCCCAAAATATCTCAAGCACACTTCAGTGGATGCCCTTGAGCTGTTTGGAGTAGGCTAAAAACAGGGGGTGCAGGAAACATCAAGTTTGGCAAATGGGGGTAGAAAAAGGAAACAGAGGCACGGGAAAGCTCACAGCCCCACTGACAAGTCCTCCATAAACTTGGAAGGAGCTTCAAGCAGAGATTCTGGGTTTCAAAATGTAGAGAAACCAAGGGTTTGGGGACAGAGACCTCTCATTTCTGAACTCTGGACTTTCTCCAGCTCCCTAACAGACTATGAGCCTAACTAAGGACAGAGGCAGCAATCCCAGGCAACAACAAGGGGTAGGGGCAGTGCAAAGAGACCATGGAGAGGCTAATTTCCAACAACACCTGGTGGTGCACGGTGCATAGTAGACACTGAATAAATAATGTGCAGAAATTGAAGAAATGACAGGATTCTAAAAATAAAGAAGAAAAAATACAGGTAGCAACCAGTTTGGTGAAATGCACAACCAGCCTGTTGGAGCTGTAAAACCCCTTAGACCTCTAAAGAGAAATCGCTCCTTTTAGCCCAGAGTAATCTCAAAATCCAAAATGTGCCTGACATTGGCTGCCTTAGGCAACCCAAGGGGAGTGCTTCAAAAACTCAGAACTGCTTCTTCAGGTTGTGTGGAGAAAGGCGGGAAGGGGGAGGGCTGGCTTAATCAGAAAGTAGAGAAGAGGTTAAAGACAGAGATCTGGCTTTACCACCAGATACAAAACACCTGGTCTCAGCCAGGCTGAGTTCCTCCCTCCAGCAATGAATTAAAAACACCTGAGGCTTTACTACAGGGCTGAAAACACGTGAGCCCAGGTGTCTATCATTCAGGGTTGAAATTGGGAGTGTTCTTTCCCCCAGGAACACCTGTTAAGAAATCAGGGGTGCCAATAAAACTGTAGCGAACCCTGAGCTTCCGCCAGACTTGGATAAGGAGCCTACCTTAATAACAGAACCTACTCAGCGACCCTCCCCCAGATACATTATGATTTTCATTGTGACTTTGGTGGCCCTAGATATTTTGACTCCATGCCCCCTCTTTCCTCCATTTAAAATATATCAGTTAACTTCTGCATTGGTATAAAGATGAATACACTATGATATGTTAAAACATTTTTTTTTGACCAAAAGTTCTCTTTAAATCCGGATTATAAAGAAGAAAGTTAAACACTTTCAATGGGCCCCCAAAAGTACCGTGAGCCGCAGCACTGTGTGGAAAGTAGAATTTGGTCCTGGGGGCTGCTCAGTGGGACGCTAGGAACAGGGGGAAGTGGGAGGGTCTGGGCCCCTTCCCGCACTTCCAGGGAGCGTGCCAGGGCCGAAAGAGCGGCCTGTCCTCAGCAGACTAGGGCAGGCTTGGGCACTTGACACGCATCACTTGCACGCGCAGCCATCGCAGGCGGGGGCGCTGTGAAGACTTGGGGTACCCCGGCCCCGCGGTCCCTCCCCACACCGCCCATGCCCCGGGCGGGGGCGGGGCTCGCTCCGGCGGACTTACTTGAGTTCCACTGACCACGAGCCCAGCCATGACAGCCAAGACCCGGAGCGCGCGCAGCACGGGGCTCCGGCCGGCGGCGGCGGGAGCGCAGTTCCGCACTGGGCGGTCAGCTGACCCGGCGGAAGCCCCAGGCGCTGGCCGGGCGCGGGGAACTCCGCTCAGCTGAGCGCCGCCGCCCTCCGCTCGGACGGGCCCCTAGCAGGTGAGCCTCCGCAGCCCCCGGCGCGCTGCGACAGGTGGCCCGCTGCAAGCCGACCCCCGCGCCCCCAACGAGACAGGACTCCTTGACTTCCCTGATCCGCCCCCGCCCAGGGTCCCTTCGCCCCAAGAGATGTCCTCCAAAATTCCATGCCCAAAACTTTATTTCATTAATCAGGACCCAGTTTGAGGGTGGGGGTCCCAAACAGGGACGCCCCAGTTGAGCCGTTAGTCTGGAGCGCAGAGTCGGGCCTTTCCTAAATTTCACAATGTAGGTTGCATAACTGCCCTCAACTGTCTCTGGAGGAGGGGCTTCTTATCCCTCTCTCGCCTGCTTTGGTAGGGAGTAGAGGAATCAGTAGGTTGAAAGGACTCCTGATAGGATGGGGTTTCCATTTGTAGAGAGATAGAAGAGGGGGAGTTGAATTTCCCTATAAAGTCTTAGCTGGGCTCAGACCCCGCCCCAGCCCCTCCCACACACAGCCTCCAGGGCTTGTCAATAATAAACCTTAGGGAAAGAGAATTGAATGATGTCTCCAAATATCAGACTTCTCTTATTTACCCCCCTCAAGAGAGGCACTGTCAGCAGCGAGATCACTCACCCCCTCAACACACACACTTCTCCCACCCCACCTCCCCATCTGGAGGTGAGAGGTCGCTATTTCTGCCCCTTGTTTGGATGAAATCCAGCCTCAGGTAACTCATAAGTTCATGCCTGCCTGTCTCTGGAAGGATCCGAATTTTCTCCCTACCTATGTTTGCCTATCCACCTTCACCCTCAGAGTGATTCTGGATACCTATTCATCTTCACCCACTCCTTATTGGGCTAAAAGCCAGCCCGGCGCCAAATGGTGTAGGGGACATCACCAGCGTCATACCCCACATTCCTAGCAAAAGACAAGTTTACAAAGAAAACAAATTTGCTTAATCAAAGTTTTAGAGAATATGGAAGACTTCAGAAGTGAAGATGGAAGATCCAAGGGAAATTCTTTATGCTTAGGCTAGACAAAAAATGGACAGCTGTGTGGAAATGTGATTGGACAAAATGTGATGTAATGGACTGAAGGGAGAAACCCAGTAAGGCCTGTCCACATTCTTTTTGATCTCTGTGTTGTGTTCCATCCTCCCAGGTATGGGGTAGGAATCCTGGGGAATGAAGATCTTAGGATCTGCTATCAGACAAGGCAGGTCAGAGGATTTCATTATTGTCAGTTCCTACCCAGAAAGGTGGGTTAAAGTAATATTTCTAAGTTTTATGGCTGGCTTTGGCGAAAGGAGTTCTAGTTTCTATAACCTACCTTGGGGAAGAATAATTCTAGTTTCCATGCCTCAATTCGGGGGAGAAGATGGAGTGGAAGACAGGAGGGCAGTAGAAAGAGATTTTGCTTTTGAGATGCTTCTAAGGCCTTCTGGTCTCCTTCAGTTCAAAATACTCAGTACACCAAAGCACCAGACTTTGGAGTATCATTTTCAAATCTCCCACCCTGTTCCCTTAGAACAGATGGGTGTAGGCATCATTCAGCTGAGACGGGAGCACTGAGTCCAGATGTGAAGACCTGGTCTCACACATGTTGCAAGCACCCCAACCCAGCCTTTGATTACCGTGGTTCCCCATCTCCAATGAGGGGATGATAACAGGGCTTTTATTTTGTTCCCTTTGTCTAAATAGCTCTGAGAAGCTCCTGGTCACACAGCTATGATAACAGTTATGATTATGGTGAAGCATTCTGTGGTTGTCAGTTTTTTCTCAGACCTCCCTGGTCCTAATGCAGGGCTACATGGGCCTCAGTGTCAGCATTCTGGTGAGCAGCTTCGGTCTGCAAGAGCTGATGGGCTGCCCCTCTCTCTGCTGGAAGGAGTGGACATAGCCAAGTAGAGCTGTGAGAATGCAGACTTGCTTTCTCTCTTGGCTGTGTTTATTATGGGGGTTCCAGGAAATGCTGCAACTAAAGGTCCTGCAGGCCAAGGAAGAGAGCTTACCCTCCAGAGATAAGGGGATCAAAGGGAGCCTCCCAAGGCCTGCTGCCCCAAGGGCCAGCTGCCCCTTCCCTTCTCTGCTGGTCCATTGTCCACGTTCCTCTGCCTTTCCTACATGAAAAGGAGGAAGTGGCCCTGGGCCCTGACAGTTATGATACTCTGCCCTCCCCGCCACCTTTCACCCGTCTTCCTAGAAGGACTGTGACCAATAGACGAGGACTCAGGAAGCAAGGAAGCAGGGCCAAAGCTATGCAAAGATGAAATCAAAGAAGTGCCCTACCTGTCTCATCTGGAGGAGTTGCTGGAGGCCCCCTCTCCTGCCCCTGCCTTCATGTACCATGCTTCTGAGCATAGACTGTTATGCAGACGCTATGTAGCAATGACACCAAGTGGACAGGGATCTTGTCCCCTTTTCTTGACCCCTCACTGCTATTCCCCTCTCACATAGCCCAGGTGACCATGCTGAAAGCCCAATCGAGCCCTACCTAAAATCTTGCAACAGTTCCCACGCAACTATTCATTCGGTCCAAAAATTCTAGTGTGTTCCTCAGATCTCTTATAATCCCATTAAACCTTAACTCTGCAGCCTTGTATCTCACTTCTTCCACTTTCCCCATTGTCTGCTTGCCCCTTTCTTTCTCAGTGGACACCTCAGGTCAGTTAACTGTATGGGGAAATCACACAAAAATAAAGTTCAAGATAGCTCAGCCTGAGGTGACCTTTAGTGTTTGCAATGTAAACTGATAACAATAGGGAACTGTTCAAAATTCTTGAGGGGAGTACTTGTCTTTGACTGTTCCAGCTGCTATAACAAAATACCATAAACTGGATTGCTCATAAGCAACAGAAGTTTTCTTTTTCACAATTCTGGATGCTGGGAAGTCCAAGATCAGGGTGCCAGCAGATGTGTGTGGTGAGCCCACTTTCCGATTCATAGCTTGGCAGTGTCGAAGTGTCCTCACATCATTGGCGTCCTCACACCATGGAAGAGTGAGCTAGCTCTCTGGGGTCTGTTTCATAAGGACACCAATCCCATTCATGAGACTCCACTTTCATGACCTAACTCCTCCCAAAGATACCATTTCCTAATATCACTGCCTTCAGGGTTAGGGTTTTAACATTATCAATGGGGGGGGGGCATTCAGACTATAGCAATAGTTTCCTGGATGTAGTTGAGGGAAGATTCCAACAGATAGGATCTAGATTCACCTCTGCTCACTCCCCTCAACTTCTGGAGGTTACTCTTCAGAACAGAACGAAGAAAAGGAGGAAGAAGAAGGGGGTGGAGGGAGAGCAGAAATGAGGAGGAGAAAAAGAATCTGTGTCCCTGGACCAAGGAAGACTGGAAGAGAAGAGGGGGCCATCATTCTACTTCCTCATCATTTTCTTCAATTAAATAGAAATAATAAAGGTCAAGTTCTTGGGAGACAGTAGAGGAACGCTGCAGTACCGCTGACCCTGGAGGGGAACAAATGATTCCTTTGGAATTCAGGGATTTACAAGAGTGGACTGAGATCCACTGGGGCTTCTGGGTGAACAGGTTAGGTTATTTCAGCCCCTACCCCAGGAGCACTGAGACACATAGAAACCTCATGTAGTCACCCCGGTTTCTCCCGGGTCCCCTCACCCCATTCTATGACTGATTATGAGCCGCAAGTTTCCCCTATCCTGCCTCATTTTACTCCACAGCCTGTCTGCCCCAGCTTCCAAGGACCAGGCCCTGTGCTAGACACTAGGGACATTTACGACTAACATATGGCCTTAGGGAGAGATGGTCAAATTTGCCCTCAGACATCCGCAATCCTGCGTCAACAAGAAATGCTGCAATTGTGATCCTATTTTCTGAACCCCCAAAAGAGGTGTGCCTCTCAAATTGTGTAAGTGCTCTCCTGAGACCCACCATACAGGAAGTTCCAACCAGACCTGGGCTGGACCTCCAGGGCCTGTGGTTTCTGGAGCTGTAGCAGGGCACCTGGAGAGCGAGATGGTTAGACAACACAAGGGGACACTTCCTTATCGCCCTTGATGAAGAGGGCAGGATTCTATTCCTACTGTCATTGTTGTTGGTGTTATTTTTCTCTGGCAGAAGAGGCCCTTTCCCTTAGAGTCCTTCCTCCATCACATTCCTGAGGACAAAAAGGAAGATCCTGTTTATTTCCAATCAAGGGAGTTGATGCCAGGGTCAGCCAGAATCAGCAAAGCAGAAACTGACTCCTGAAATCTTCCAACTCTGTGCATTAGCAGCTGGGAGGACAGGACCAGCTGACAAAGTTTTCTTAGCATTCCTACCTGTCCTTAGCTGAGTCTTTCTTCAGCACAGCCTCGCTTCTTTTAGGCCCAGCGCCTGTTCAGGTTAGGATGGTTACTGTAATTAATCATGCCCCAGCCCCTGTTTCAGACTCAGCACATTTCGATTTCAATTTTATAAAGAGGCTGGATGTGTGTCTATGAAGTGTTCTTTGTTGCTGTCACAACCTCCTTTGAGCCTCTAGGAGGGAGGTGCAAGAAAAAGAAGAAGTTTGCAAAGCCCTTTCCCAAGTATTTGCGCATAAGTGAGAGGATCCTGGATTCTCTGTGCTTCAAAACACTTCCAGTATCTCCCACTTGGAACAAATTGAATTTTGAAAAATGTATATTGGATACTTTCATAATATCAAGCATGAGTATTCATTTCATGAATGTTAGTTTATTATTATTTACTATTGTAATTATTACTATTATTAATTCTTAGTGCTTCTAGTTTCCCTTCTATTTAGGTCTTAAAAGGTTGTGTTGCTCCCCTATTAAAATGCAAATAGCAAAGAGCAAGAAGGAAGTAGGTTCAGGGAAGCTGGGAGCAGGAAAGAGGCTTCCGCTTTTCATTCCATTTCTTCTGTGGTTTTTGCAACATGCATCTAAGAATTTTGCAATTAAAAATCAAGAATGAGATTGGCATGGAAGGGAGAAAAAGGAGAATTGACCACTGAAATGACAATATGCTCATCTCTTAACATTATTTTAACAAATCATGAGAACAGCAACAAGAAACAAATCATATTTCCCAATTTGCCTAAACTTGTCAAATACTCCAGGTCCTTGACTGGCCATAGGAGGCAGGTCAGCTCTGATTTAGAGAAGGGTTCATCCTGGACTTCAGAGAGGAAAGAGAACATGGACCAGAAAAGCATGTTTCCAACTATGTTATGGTGTAGATATGAGGTGTCCCCCAAAAGCTCATGTGTGAGACAATGCAACTAAGTTCTGAGGTGAAATGATTGGTCATGAAATTTTTAGCTTAATCAGTGCATTAATTCCCTGACAGGGATAAAACCAGTTGGTAACTGTAGGCAGGTAGAGTGTGGCCAGGGAAGGTGGCCTGGGGGCGTTCCTTTGGGGTATGTATACTTTGTGCCTACCAGTTCTCTCTCCCTCTCTCTCCCTCTCCTTTCTGGTGCCAGGTCCTGAGCTGTTTTCCCCTGTCACACCCTTTCATCTTGATGTTTTGTGAAAACCTGAGTCCCCAAATAAACTTTTCCTCCTCTAAATTGTTCTTGTCAGGTGTTTTGGCCACACACACACACACACACACACACCCAAAAAAAAGAAGAAGAAGAAGAACCTGACTAAAACAGTATATTTCCAGTGGGAGCATTTTTCCAGAATTCCAGCTTGACTTGGGAAGTTCTGCCACTTGGAAGTTGGGGAAGGACTCCCCCACCCCCGTCAAACCCTCAGTTAAAATACATGGAACTTGACATAATTTCAGGGAGGTAGTTCCCTAGCATTTGTCTTTTGCCCAAGTATCCCCTATGTAATAATTCGGATTTGTGATTATCCCAAACCAGCTGCTTTTATATCATCTTCTCCTACTACCAAATGGGAAAACTGAGGTCCAGAGAGGAGAAGAGACTTGCCCAGTGTCACCAGCAAACAAGCAGCTGACCCCAGGCCAGGCAAGAAAGCAAGACTCTTCCTAAGTCCCACTAAAAACAGGATGAGGCGGCTACAGGATCCCCTGAAAGATACCATTTCACGTCTAATCACTTCTTGTCACGTTGTAACCATTTTCCTCATATGGAGCCCCACGCTGATGGATCAGAAATAACATTTTCAAAGTTATATCTGCAAGGAAATGGCTATTAATGTTCTTCCTCTCCTTTTAGAGCACCGAGGAATACATATTAATTTTCTCCCTACTTATATTGCCTATTTGCAAATTGTATTCACTACCCAGCGTTCCAATTTGTCCTACCCCTGAAGAGATGATGATGAATCAATGTGTTCCTGGAAATAAAGTAAAATACAAAATTTGTCACTGAGATTTATTTTTATAAGTATTTACAGGGATTGTTTTAGAATATATGGGGGGCAATAATAATAATGCGCACATGAGAGTTCTACCATGATTTACCAACATTAATTCCAAGTCTCTTCCTACTTTTCTGAAAGGATGCTGTTTGCAACTATGAGCCAAAGACAAAGCAAGCATCAGTTGCACCTGGTACCACCAGGGCCGGAGGCTGAAGGCCGGATGCAGGGCTGCTCGGCCTTGTAGTAGTCCTGGTCCAGGAGTCCTCCCCTCCATTCAATACCTAATTTTGCCACTAACGAGATGGTGCCCATGTTTGATCCATTTGCAACTAAGCTTTTCTCAGATGCAAACTAGCTGATCTAAGGAGTTTTGATTACTATAATAATGCAATAGTTTGGATCTAGATTGTCGCCAAGGGCCCATATGTTAAAGGCTTGGTCACCAGTTTGGCACTATTGGAAGGTGGTAGAACCTGCGAGAGGTGGGAGCTAGTGGGAGGTCCTCAGGTCATTGGAGAAGAGCTTTGAGGGGAAAGTGGGGCCTTCCTTTCTCTCTCTCTCCTTCTCTAGCTTCTTGGCCTTGAAGGGGGAGTTTTCTTCCACCAAGCTTTTCTACCATGATGTGCTATTTCACCCTGGGCCCCAAGGCAACAGGGCCAACGGATCATGGACTGAAACCCCCGTAACTATGAACCAGGGCTGGGGATGTAGTTGAGTTGGAAAGTGTTTGCCTAGCATGTGTGAGGCCCTGGGTTCAATCCTTAATACCAAAAAATAAAATAAAATCACTATGAAGCAAAATAAAACTTTTTATAAGCCGGTTAACTTAGGGACTTGTTACAGTAATGGAAAGTTGACTGACACAAATAAAAATGCAAGTAAATATGCACATCCCCCCTCCCCCCCAAAAAAACACTAGTGGTTATTTATTGAGCACCTGCTTTATTTCAGGCACTGGAGGAACAAACAGGAATAGAGTAGATATGGTCCTTCTCCTGCAAGGTGTACATTATGGTGGGAGGAGACAGGTAACCAGTAGATAAATAATATGAAATCAAGTATGTGAAATACACCATTTCAGAAGGCACTGATACATGCTAAAAAGACAAAAGCTAACAAGGGAGTAAGAGTGGGGAAGGTGGGGAATGCTGACTTAGCTACAGTGTCCAGGGCTCTGCTGGCCTCCCTCCTGTCAAATCCTTGATGAGCACAACATGGGCGGGACTTGGGCCCCACCCACCCCCTCTGCACAGTGCTCTTGTGATGCACACACTGCCTGATTTCAGACAGCTGTGGTGTGTCCTGGGAAGGTTGCTCTCAGGGAGGGATGTTTGAGCTGAAATCCAAATCATGAGATGGACTCAGCCCTGGGAAAACCTGAGTAAAGGGTTTTCCAAACAGAGGGGACTGCAAACACAAGAGCTATGCCTGTTCTCATGTTGTCACTCTGCTTGGCCTGAGTGATAAACTGGAACTCAAATGCGTACAAGGACACCCAAGCAAAGTGTCACCCAAGACAAAAAGAAGAGTATCTCAATGTGACTGCAATAGATGGACTATGGCTTCGAGACACAGCATCTGGAAACAGAGTCATGCATGAACACACAGAAGTTCTAGAGTCCTTTGAAGCAACTGTGGTTTACTTGGAGAGAGAAACACGGAAGGATCGGTAGCCCTTATCAATGACTGCATCCAAACACTCACAGACAAAATAGCACATGGACACACGTGTAAATGCGCAGACCCACAGGACACATGTCAGCCTTGGATCCAGCATTCCACCTGGTGGCTACAGTCTGAACCCTGAACCCTATTCCTAAGCACACCCCAATCTCCCATCTCATTGCAATGGGTACTAGTGGCCAATAAAGAATGCAGACATTGTAGATGGTCAGTAGTTCCTTAGAACTGAAAGGGTTTATAGCTTATACTCAAGTACTAAAAATTCAATCATCCAATTCATTCAATTCATTCATTCAAAAAATATTTATTAGCCAGGCTCACTAGAATGCACCTGCAGTCCCAGCAACTTGAGAGGCTGAGGATCCCTTGAACCAAGGACTTGGAGGCAAGCCTGGGAAACATAGCAAGATCCCATCTCAAAAAATAATAATAATAAATAAAATCTAATATGAAATTGAATATTTGAAACATGTATTTATTTTCTGAGTGCCTACTATTTGCCTGATACTGTTCTAACCTCGAAGGATGGAGCAGAAGAACAGTTTCTTCTTACCCTTTGCAGTTGGGGCGGGGGGATGGATAATAAGCAAATGCAGCATCAGGTGGTAATGAGATCTGTACAACAGGAAAGGGAAAAAAAAGTGCCAGGACACATGGAGTGATCAGGAAAGGCCCCACTGAGAGAGTGATATTGAAGCTCAACACTTTGTAGGAAGTGGAGGAGAGCCAAGTGGACAGCTAGGGGGAGATTATTCCCAACAACAGGAAGAGTAAGTGCAAAGGCACTGAGGCAAGAGTCTGCTGGAAAATTTGGGAAATATCTGAGTAGCTGGAGTGAGTGAGGGGGAGAACAATAGTAAATGAAGTCACATGGAAGGACATGGGGGCACAGCTCACGGAGGGACAGATAGGCTGAAGTTAACACTTCAGTTGAAACTTTCAGTGAGAGAAAGAACCTTAAGCAGAGGATAGGCATGATCTGACTCCCATTTGTAAAGATTGCTTTGACTGCTCTGCTGCTATGCTATGGGCCATGGAGAGGAAAGCAGGAAGAATAGGCTACAGGCAGGTCATCAGGGAAATCATGGAAATAAGGAAAAAATATGTGTGTGTATGTGTGTGTGTGTGTGTGTGTGTGTTTATTTATTTATTTATTTATTTAGTGTGTGTGTGTATACACACACACACACACACAGTGCCAGGGATTGAACCCAAGGGTGCTTAGCCACTGGGTCACATCCCCAGCCCTTTTTTATGTTTTATTTAGAGACAGGGTCTTTCTGAATTGCTAAATGCCTTGCTAAGTTGCTGAGGCTGGCTTTGAACTTTTGATCCTCCTGCCTCAGCCTCCCAAGTTGCTGGGATTACAGGTGTGCATCACGCATCATCATGCCCTGCCCACCTGAATATATTTTAAAGATGATATCAACAAAATTTTATGATGGCTTGGACAAAAAAAGTATGAAAAAACGGAGGTCAAAGGTAACCCCAAGATTATCTTTGATGGAGTTGTCATATAAAATGGATGAGAAAATTGGGGAATGGAAGGGTCCAGGGGTCTTTTTTGGACTTGATACTTTGAGAAGACTTTGAGACTTATAAGTACAGATGTGAAGCAGACAGATAGATGCAAGTGTGTGGAGTTCACAAGGCAGATCTGGACCACAATTAGAAATCTGATTTCTTAGATGACGTATAAAACCCTAAGACAGAAAGAAAAAAATCTGAAGGTTGAGCATTAGTGTACTCTGGCAGAGGTCAAAAGAATCACCATATGACATGTGAAGGGGTAGCTGGAGAAGTTAAGGAAGAACCAAAGACAAGTTAAGACCCAGAAGCCAAGAAAAGAAAGTTATCAAAAAAGATGGGGTTCCCAACATGCACATGGTCTCAAAGTATCACCCTACAGATAACCTACAAATTGCAAAAGGGGAACACACCTATACAGTGGAGAGGTCTAAAGGTCCCACTTCCCAACCAAGAGCTCAGATGCCGCATCTCCAAGGTGATACAACCTGACATTTTGGTCTTCTGATGTGATTCTTTGAGAAGTACACACCCCTTGCATGTTATTCTTGCCAAATATGCTTAACCTGAATCCACTTGGGAGGAAATAGACAAATCCAGAAGGTGGAAAATTTTACAAGACAACTAGGCCAGACTATCCAAAATGTCAATGTCATGGGGGCAAAAGGACTGTTCTAGATAAAACGACCTAAAGAGACAGCACAATGCATAATCCTATATTGGATACTGGAACTGAAAACAGCTCAGAGGACATTTTAGGAGCAACTGGGAACATCTAAACATGAACTGTTTGATGATATTATTATGAAGTTATTGAATTCACATTACTCTGCTTAGTTGTGCTAATGGTATTGTAGTTTCATAAGAAAATATCATTTTCCAGCCAGGCACAGTGGTGCACACCTGTAATCCCAGCAACTCTGGAGGCTGAGGCAGGAAGATCACAGTTCAAAGCCAGCTTCCACAACTTAGCAAGACCCTGTCTCAAAATAAATAAATTAATTAAAAGGGTTGAGGAGGTAGCTCAGTGATAGAGCACCTCTGGGTTCAATCTCCAGTACTACAAAAAAAAAAAAAAAGAAGAAAAGAAAAGAAAAAATGTCCTTTTCTTTGGGAGATACAAGATGAAGAAATTAGGAGTAGACATCAAGATGCACATGACTTTAAAATAATTCAGAGGGAAAAAATGGGCAAAAGAGACACAGAGAGAGACAGCAACATGGCAAAATGTTAAGAGCTAGTGAATCTGGGAGAAGGGTATTGGGAGTTCATTGTCCTATTTAAATTTTTTTCACAAGTTTAAAAAATTCTGGAATAAAAGGTCAAGAACTAAAAGAAAAAGGGATTGATCAACTATATCTGGTACTGCTTAAAGCCAAATAAAGGGAAGACTAAGAATCAACATCAGCTTTAACAACATCAGATCACTGGTGACCTGGACAAAGGGACAACACAGGAGGTACAAAGGAGCCACCTTGGAAGAGCTCTGTGGGCCTTGCCAGGAGGACTATGGGGGTAAAATGATCACATTTGTGTTTCAAAGTAATTGGTCAGACAGGTTGGGGAGGATATTTAGAAGGGGAAAGTAGGCCCTGAAATGCATTCTATCCCCATTCCCCTGTGGTGGAGACCTGAAGGGAGAGAGTAGCAATGGGGATATAAAGATTTGGGGCTAAGCAAAAGTGTAACAGCCCAATATCTTTGACTCAATATCACCTGAGAGAAGTGGATGGAGGGGCCTAGGTGGTGACATTCGCTAAAATACTGGCTGGGGGTTGATGAATCCTGCT